ACCAGAACACCACGAGGGACGTCAGCTGTCTCCAAGTCAGCAGAACTCAGGAACATGAAGACTAGTTGGGCAAACCCCCGAGGTCGACTCCTTGTAAAGAGCCGGTTCACGACAAGGATGAAACCTCTCCAACCCCCGGTGTGGACTTTACCAGGGGGGCTGAGGGGCGGGATCTCCCTGTAGGTGGAGCGAACACTCTGCTCCCCTCTTTGAAGAGGACCTCCACCCTGCTCTCCCACTCCAAAAGCACCGTCCCAGATGTTGCTGCTCAAAGAGCTTATGTGCTGGTGATCTCACCCCCTCTAGTGAACAAACATGGAAAGAGCAACTGCTCTTTTTTTCTTCATCCCGTCGTCTTGTGTCTTCCATCTTAACTGCTCCTCAGGACTCATGACCGTTTATGAACCATTCACACGACCGAGACACGTTTTTCTTCTGTACGTTTTTGTGCTGCGTCAGCAGTTCATAAATCAAAACGTTCGGCTCATTCCGGACATTCCTGATGTGACTTTTTTATTTGACCAATTTTTATTTATTTTTTTAATATTTAACTTAGTCAGACACGTTTTTCTCTTTGAAAACAAACGTAGCTCTCTGCCCTTTGTGTTGCTTAAAACACTTTACTGCTCATTTCAGCTTTGTTCAGCTTCTTCGTGCTAATTTCGGCTTTTTGTGCTCTTTTCAGTTTTAAGTTCAGCTGTAAATTTCTGTTTTTTTATTTGACTTTTTTCAACTACTTTTTATCTAAATTCAATTTATTTCTTCTTTGTCAGCTACTTTTTTAGGTGTCTTTCTGCTAATTTGAGCTTTTTTAAACATTATTTTAGCTCATTTTCATCTTTTGTTATTATTTTGAACGGTTTCAAGGTTCAAGCTTCTTCACTGTCATTCGCATCACATGTGGTACATGAGGTGGAACGAAACTGTGTACCCAAGGCCCCAGTTACACCCAAAAATAGCAAAAATATAAAAGGATATAAGATATACTCTAAACATTAAAAATGTAAAATAATAGTGTGTTAAATGGTATATTAAACAGCAGCCCGAACATGAGTCTGTGGTGAGCAGATTCAACTTTTATGCTCCGTTCAGCATAATTTCAGCAGCAAATTTGAGCTTTTTTAAAGCCTTTTCAGCTACTTTTTTACTGATTTGAGCTTTTTTTCTGCTCATTTCAGTTTTTTTGTAATGTATTCAGCCTCCCTCTACCTATTTCAGCTTGTTTTGCTCATTTCAGCTACATTTTGGTTACACATTTTTGCCGTTTTCCTACTGCCTTTTGCTTGTATTTTCCTGCTTTCAGTAAAAATCAGCTGTTCAAACTCAACTTGCATTAATAGTTTAGTGATGAAACCTTTTCAGGCTGGTTTCAGCTTCAGCAGCTTTCAGCAAAAGTCATTCCACAATAAGCCGAAATTGTGATTTCTCTAGTTAATAATCTGCATTTGATATTTTTGCCTTTTTTTCCGTCTTCAGCCGGTTGAGCTGCCAGACGGCAGCATCATGATCAACGTGCGGAACCAGAACAACTACCACTGTCGGTGTCGCATCGTGATCCGCAGTCTGGACGGAGGGCTGACTCTCCCCGTAGAGGAGCTGTTTTTCGACAACAAACTGGTGGATCCAGCCGTGGCCGCCGGAGCGCTGCAAAAAGACGGCGTGCTCTACTTCACCAACCCTTCCAACGAGCAACACAGTAAGACGCCTTTAACCTGGAGACTTCGTAAAAGAAGCGATTCAGTCCAGTTAAAGTCTTGTTTTACCCCCTCAGGAGTGAATCTGACGCTACGATGGTCGCTAACCAGTGGATTGTCTTGGGAAAATAAAGCCGTTCAGATATGGGAGGGACCAAGTGGTTACTCCTGCATCACGTCGTTGGGCGGTAGCTCAGTAGAAGATGAAAAGTACATCTACGCCATCTATGAAAAGGGCCACAAGGACTACTGGGAGACCATCTCATTCGTCAAAATAAACCTATACGGTGGTCGGTAGAGAAGCAGAGCAGGTAGGAGTTACCAGCTTCATCTAAAATAATGTATTTTTCTTTTAACCGGGCTTTTTTTTTAACTTCACCTCGTTTATTTTTCAGGTTCAAACCTCGAAGGGAAGCAGGACGAATATTTGAATCCAGCATCTTTCTCAGGAAGAAAAAGGCACGTCTTAAAAACATGCCTGGAAAAGTGCTTCGTTTCTATTTTGCCAAGCTGTTGCACAGTTTCATAACGTTCTCGGACTCGTAGTTTAAAAAACCAAACGTGACCAAGGAGCACATCTGGACGGAGATCGTTTCGGACGTATTTGTTTGACGAGCCGGGGTCAGTCTTTAAAATAAGATGTGAGCTGCTTCGTGTTTGTGATCACATTTGAAGAGAATGGATTTATTTAAATCAGTTATCAAGTAATTTTTGTATATTTTTTGTTCTTTACGTTTCTGATATCACTTGATAAATTATGATAATAAGGAGGGACTTTTTCCTTTTTTCTGCATTTTCCAAACGTTTTAATTGATAATAGACGGAAATTTCTGTCAAAAATAATAAACACATTTTGATTGATCTGACGTAGAGAACTGGATTATATTTTTAGTACTTACTTTTGCACGATTCTTGTGCAAAATTAAATGAATTGTATTACAGATGTGATGTAGCATTGCCTTTTTTAAATCTGTAAAACAGTTTGTTTACATGACAAAATAAAATTCTTCCAAACATTTAAGTTGTGCAGAATGACTTGTTTGTCCCTCGTTATCAAAGTTGGGTAAAATTTATATTCAAATATAATCTAGATTAGGGTTAAATTTGAGAAAATATGTAATTAAATCATTGTTACTTTGCAACATGACTACATATAAAACAGACATGTTTAACTTGTGGTATTCTTAATGCCAACCAGTTCCACATAAGTTTCCTTTTTATTTGTAAATTTTTTTATTTTTTAACGTTTTATTAACGGTGAACTTTATACTTCTATTTATTTACAGTAATCATGGAAGAGAAACATCTTGAATAGCACTAAAAGTATTTTAACAAAAGGAAGTACTTTAAGTTTTTATATAAAACTTTGGAAACAATGATTTTCTAGACGGTTATGCTTGAAGTACGGAAGCCCATTTGTGCCACACAGAAGGAAAAAAAAAGTCCTAATTATGGGACATGATCTCAAATTCACGACTCCGCTTCTTATTATGAGATGTCACAAAATGCTAAGTTATATTTGTGAGATGTGTCATATTTCTCACAATTGTGACTCATAACTATGAGTTATTAAGACTTATTTAAGAAAAATAATGATAAATTATCGTATTACTACGAGATAATATCAGTCATATTGAGTTTTGGTAATAAGATACCAAGCTGTCCTAATCTACTAAATCAAAGGGGAGTTATTCAAGTTAGACTAAATTTCCAAATTATACTAAGTCATCTTAGAAACATAGCATCCCAAAATACTAAGTCATACTAAGTCACGCCAAGTTACTTCTCTTACAAGGACACGAACTTGCACTAAGTCACAATAAAATACTAAACCAAATAAGATAAAAAGTCATATCAAGTCAAATCAATGATACTAAGTCATACTGAGATACTTATTTTACTAGGCCACAAACTAACACTATATCAAAATGATGCTACTAAGTTATACTAAAATAATAGGTCAAAAAAGTAAAAATTTTGCAAAGTCAAAAAGTTTTAAATATATTAATAATAGCAGGATTTGTTTAAAGAAGTGTGATTTAAAAAAAAATATTTGTGTATATAAATTAAATTTATAGACGCAAACACTAAATGAGAGAATTGTACATTTTCTTTATACGGTATATTTTTTAAAGTTGCTTTTTACACAGATTTTCCGTCTATGTCTTGGCCTTAACATTAACTGGATTTTAATAGTTTAAAGTGAGTAAATATCCTGAATATATTAATTTTGCTCATTAAAATACCATGCATTAGCAAAATAAAAGCAAAGTGTAATAAGTCGATTGCTTTCAAATCAATTTCAACACGTGGAAAAAAAATACTTTAGTTTTTAACAGTCGTAAAATAAGAAGCAAAGCTCGGTGTACAGTTGAAACATTTGACCCAGTTGGGGTTTAGTAGTAGTTTTTATAAAAAAATAAAAACAATAACAACATCGCTTTCGTGTTTTCTGCAGAGGTCCCAAACGGCTCCCATCCAGCTCCAGTAGCCGCTGACGGCTCTTTAGGTGACGGATCGAGTCCAGCATCAGCAGTTTTCTTTTTCCTTTTTAATTCGTTTATTTTCCCCGGGGATTAAAAAAAAAAAACAGGAGTACAAGTAAGCGGAACTCGTCGTTTCCCTGCACCGTGCGAGCCTCGTCAAAGTTAGGGCAGGTTATATCAAAGACCTCTGTGTGTGTGCCTGTTTTGCTAAGCTCATTCTGCGATACAAGTCGGGACAAGACCAGGTCAGTGGCTGGAAAATTTAACGTTTTTTAACGCAAACGTTTCACCGAGCACGACAGCGTGAGAGTCGTGTGTTCAATCACCCAACTGTTCACGCAGAGCTACGTTTTGAAGGGGGGATATGTTGCTGATTTTCAAAAGAGGTGCCTTGATTGTTGTTGTTAGCCAGCCTAGCTTGTTAGCCTTCAGGTTTCTTTCCTGGTAAATGTTTTATGAGGTGTACTTTGCGGATAATAGCGCATTCACTTGCTTTTATAATAGAGATGTGTGTATGTTTTTGTCGTTAAAATAACGAGTAACGTTTAATCACTACTAACAACAACTACGTATCGGATGTTAGCGGTTAGCCGAATCTGAGGCTAGTAGTGTGTGGTAGCATCGGCTAAATCGCTAGATCAGCTCCATTTAGATGCCGGCTTACGTTCTGGCGTACCAAGTGAACGAGCGCATCAATCCAGCAGTGTTAGCAGGCGTATGCTCCGCCCCCCCGTTGTATCCTCTAGCCGTATCACGCGCCGGATCACTGTTAAGGAGCACGCCTCGTTTCAGTTTAACCGACAGACAGTTAAATTAACAAGTTTTCATCGTGATATTTTCCAACAAATCTAGTTCAACGTCTATTTGTAGTTTCATCTTGAGCGGGTGAATTGTGATTAGGACGCTGCTGCTCAACCGTCCCGTGTTAACCACTCCAGGCCTCGCTTAGCACCACCGCCATTTTGTTTTGTTCTTTTAAATAAAAAATTGCTCATTCCGCTTCGTCCCCGAAGCCTCCTGGCGTTTATCGGTAAAGATGACGAGCTGTGGTTAAAAACGTGATGTCGGGCATGTGAACGCTGTGTGGATTTAAGTCGCAGGGAGCCAAAGGAGAGCTCAAGGTGTTGAAAATGCATTATGAAACAACGCAGTCCCCCTCCCAAAGAGAACACCGAGGCCCTGCGTGTTAACCTGCTGCACTGTAACCACCCTGCCCGGCTGTAGCTGGGGTTGTAGCTTTGAACACATGTGTCTCAATGATCGTTGTCTGAACACATGTGTCTCAATGATCGTTGTCTTTGTGGTGCGTGTTACTGCTGCAGTGTGGCTCTCCGTTAATCCCTGAACAACATGCAGTTCACCAACCATCCCACGACCTAATTTTCTAATCTCATGCAGCCATTGAGGCACCGTGCAGCTCTGTAGTCACCGTGTAAATCACTTTCTGTGTAAATGCATCAGTGTTTATTTATAAAGCACTAATTCAGAATAAAAGTCATCTCAGGGCACTGCAATAAACGCTAATTAGTAAAAAAAAAAAAAAAAAAGTTATTTATCTAAAGAAGACAGCAGATTTCTTTTAATTGCGATATCCCATCCTGAGCAGCACGTTGGCGACAGTGGAAAGAAACGACTTGCTTAGCAGTGTTGACAGATAGTCGAGGTTTTCCAGCCCAAAAGTCTGTTAAAAACCGCCCCATCGCATAAAAACCCAGTCAATATATTGTTATATTTACTGTTTGAACACACACACATAAATATATGTATGTACACACAAACAAACAATACCCCCCACCCCCTGCAAAGATAAATTGTTTATATGTTCATCGATGTGATTAATCAAAATCAGTCAAATGTGAACGTTTGTTCTTTTTATTCAGAAAATCAACACGTCACATTTCAGGATCTGGTTATTATAGACACAGATTAAATGTTCAATAAGAATATTTCTATATTTATCACCATAGTAATCGTGTTACACACATTTGTAAACACTCAAAAGATTAGTGCTTACTTTTAACCTAAACGTTTAAGGAGTAAATATTTTTAATAAGCACTTTAAAAGTTATAAATGTTGTCTTTGGTGCCTGTTTGTTTTCCAAATGTATTAGTGTGTGTGAATGACAGGGATTAACATAAAACTCTTTGTAGAATGGTGCTTTATGAAGTCAGTCCGTTTCCTTCTATCAGTTGATTGGCAGTTCTGCCACATCCAATATGGCGGCCGCTCCGACGTACGGCTGCAACGGGTCAGCTCGCTCAACGAGGTGTCTACTGAAACCGCCTTATCAGTTCTCTGTTGTGAACGCCCTGGCAGATGGAGAAAGGTCAGGGGAGCTTTGCTATGAAGTAATGATGAATGATTGTTTGAAATGTGTTTAATAGATTAACTCAAAAACCGCAGATCTGACTTCAAATCCGCCCAAATTATCCCCGCCCGCCCAAAGCAATTTTTACCCGCAAAATCAGAATGAAAACCGCCCAATCTGGCAACGCTGACCTCCAGCAGGAAAGTTCAGGATGGGGGGCCACCTGCCTGACTGGCTGGAGACAGGAAAGAGACAAACAGAGAATGACTGGCCCAGGTGTACTGTCTGTGGGGAGGAAGACAAAGAAAAACACGTGTTATTATAAATACAGACTTCTGTTGTGGCTTGGCGCTTTATAAATAAACTGAATTGAGTTAAATCTGATGAACCAGATTCTACAAAAACATCTGTATTTAAAATTCTATATTTTTCTTCATCGTTTGGTGTATTTGCACTCATTGTGCCTACTTTTATTGTTTAATTTAGATATGGGCTTTTGTTTCTTGCATACAGATTTTATTTTAGTGATTTAAAGTGTAATTCTTGTTTTGTCATTTGTACATAAGTGGGTTAGAGTAAAGTTGAACTAAAGGCTGCATCTCTTCTTTAAACATATTCGAGGGAAATAATCCTGAGATCCAATAGTTTTGTCTTTTTATGATTTTTCAGCTGAATTAACTTTAATTAACAGATTATTTAATAAAGTCAAAGTGAAAACAGGATTTCATGATAAAGCCGGCATGGTTTATTTATTTTTATTCTTCACTGTTTAAAAAAAGAAAAGAAAATGTATATGCTCTATGTTAATGTTTAAAAAAAAAAAAAAGTTTCCACCCTCCGTCCTGGACTCTCGGTCCTCCCGCCTGCCAGGGCTTGGAATCCGGCCTTTGTGAGCAGGCGAGGCCGGGGCTCGGGGTCCGGCCTCGCCTGCTTCAACGGGTCAGCCGCTCGTATGATCCTCCACGGTGACTCCGCTCGCTCGAATTTTGTCGTCGGTCACCAAACACAAAAAAACGCCCGGACTACAGCATTAAACACAATGTTGTCATTATTGTCTTTAAAATCGACCCAAACGCTGCTCCGAGTTCCGAACAATTGCAAATGGCGGATCGGTGAAGAGTTTCTGAGATCCAGTGACTCCTCCCCCTGACCAGTCAGTGTCCTGCATTCACGTTTCTGTCCCGACTCAGCTCGACTCAGCTCGAACGGTCTCACCAGAGAAGCAGGGGCAAAAAAAGCCTTGAATCAGCTAAAAAGTACTGGTGGAATAGGAATCCTTCTCTGGCGGGCTGAGTAATAGTGGTGGAAATGGGGCATAAGATACCCAAGTCCACCCGAACTATAAAATTTATCAAAAATAAGTCTTGAGCCTAGTCTTAAAAGTAGAAAATGTGTCATCCTCACGGACAGAAACTGAAACTTGGTTCCACAAGAGAGGAGCCTGAAAACTGAAAGCTCTGCCTCCCGTTTTAGAAACTCTAGGAACCACAAGTAAACCTGTAGTCTTAAGTTCTCTGTTTGGAAAATATGAAACGTAGGATCTTGTTGAGAGCATTGTGTGTTAGAAGTAAATTTTTAAATCGTATTCTGAATTTGTCAGGGAGTTGATGAAAAAGAGCTAAAACTGGAGAAATATGGTTTCTTCTAACTTGTTATTAGTGTTTCCCTGGGCTCAGTTTGCAGAGACAGAGAGGTCCATGACACAAGGCGACTGTTTAACAACACTTTGAAGGTGTGAACACTTCCATGTGAAAATGGCTTCACATTCGGTGATTCTTGTTCCTCAGACATCGAGAACTTTTTGCTCGTTTTTGTAAGATCGCACATATTAGGTCAGGGAAATGTTTTTTTTTTTTTTTTCCATCGCCAAACTTATATATTTTTAGCAGACTAAACCTGTTGAACAGCAAATTTCTTCTACCTTTATTGTATGAAACAACTGTTGAACTCAACATGATGCTACATGCAGCTTTAATATTTGAAAAGAGCAAGAAATCAGTAAAAAAAAATAAATAAATCTGTGTTAAGATTTTGAGTCATTGCATGATATCGTCCATCCATTATCTTTACCCACGTCTTCCTTGTTATATTTTTATTGACAACGTCTTGTCCTTGCCCAGGTAGCCATGGTGGTATCATGTAAAATGTATTTTTTTTTTTTTAGTGTTTACATGCCAAATGTTTCCATTTGGCATGTAAACATGTTTGACACATTAATGATGAGTTAAATTGTTACACTTTGGGATTATAAAGATGGTTGTACTCATTTTTCTAAACATAAAAGCTTGGCGTTGTTGTAGATGTCATGACTTGGCTGTAAAGTAGTCGTTCTAATGACGGTCCAACAACCTTCTTATAGCAAAGAAGTGATGTGAACCCATGTATCGATGGATTTGCCTTGTTCAAAGGAGCTGGTTCTGGTTAGTCAGATTCACGGTGAACTGGACAGATGTCAGCGTCATGCGTTTTATTGATGTCAGTAAAATGAGTTTAGGTCAAAGGCCCAGTGGTTTTCACATGTAAAAGGAGGCCCATCAGCCTAACAGCTGATCATTAGAGCCCTGATGGCCGCTTGTTATTCACAGTGGGCTGAGTGATGCTAGCAATAACAGCATTGTAAGAGGGTGATAGTTGAACATGGAGACCCCTGCCCTTGTTTAATGATGGACGAGTTCTCTGCATAGAGGAACACTGGTTTGGGAGAAGAGTGAAGGAAGCCATCTTTGTGAAGAGAACCTGTTCATCATTAAACAGGGGCGGAGGCCTCCGTGCTCATCTATCACCCTCTTACAATGCTGTTATTGCTAGTATCACTCAGCCCACTGTGAATAACAAGTGGCCATCAAGGCTCTAAGGATCAATTGTTAGGCTGGCCCTTCTTCTACATGTGAATAGCTAGTTCTGGCCGACGGCAGCAAACTGGTTAATTCACGGAGAAGGTGCTATTTATAAGACTGAGTTTGTTGCAGCGCCTCAGACTGAAGAAGTCTTTTGGATAAGAGGTGAAACGTTTCAACAAAGAAGACTCCTTTCAGAGGACCTGACCTAACTTTGTTAGATGTTTGCTACATTTCCATTGATGAGCACCGCGCTCAGTCTGCGCACATCAACTTTATTTTTGCATAGCTGAATCTGACCCAGCTGAAATTTGTGTTTTTGTGGAATATTTAAACTTTGATTTGAAGGTTTGGGGGGGGAAAAAGACTCAACAAATGCAGGAGTTGGGATTTTAAACTCTGCTGTTGTACAAATTTCTCTCTTTTTCTCTTCTAATCCGACCCTTATTGTTCTCCACCATGGGGCTCTCCCTTTTTGATTTGACTCGAAGCCAAAACGTGCCCACAACCAAATCTGTAATGTTTGTCTTTGCAACAGTACAGTTTTGTAAATGTCGTTGTTTTCTTGTTGAAATAGACGTAAGTTAAGGCTGAGTGTTTAATCATGTCAAGACTGATGGTGTCAATAAACCACAGCAGCCGAAACGAGTGCACGAGGTGGCAAAGAATATAAGATTTTGTTCACGTGTTGCATTTATTTAAATGCAGGTGGGTAGAAACTGTTACCGTGCCATGTTGTAGTGGTGAAGAAGGTTATCAGTGAGAGGAAATGTGTTTTACTTGTTGGTTTGTAATAAAAAGTGACGAATGACAGGACACAGCGGCTCAACCAGGCGTGCTTCTAATAAATTAACAAATCTGTGCTTTTTGTTTTATTTTACCACGCTGGGTTATTTGATAAAAGTGATTCTGATTCTGGCAGATCCTGTTCACCCACTTCATGGTGAGTTCAGGTTGCTTCTGTCTGGACGCAGATATCTGATGTAGAACAGACTGAAAAACTCATTCGTTCCTGTAGTGGTCAGGCTTCTCAGTGAACACTGATGATTTCGTGCTGTTACTTTAATGTCTCAATGTCTTGTCTAGTGTGGAGGTTTTGTGTGACTACCGACTGTGAAACAAATTGCCCCTCGGGGATAATAAAGATTCTTGAGCTTGAAAACGATGAAGCGGTGCGTCTACATCTGACATCACTCATATTTACTGTTTAGGACAATTACAGAAGTAGGATTAGTTATTAAACTAATGGAGCACAAGCGATCACAGCTGCAGGTCGTATCACGTACCATATTTTGTTTTGTTAAACGCGTCGATTACTAGAGCACTTTCACTCTGGCCCTTATGAGCTTCCGTAGGATCAAATCTCTCTGTTTCTCTCTCCTCCAGTCTCAGGGCTCACCATACTCAATGAGCGGACAGCGCAATGTCAGAGCGCTCTGGGCAAACTGCAAAGGGGAAGGAAGGCAAAACCAAGTATGCGTCTCTCAACTTGTTTGATACATACAAAGGAAAGAGCCTTGAAACACAAAAGCCTGTTGGTGAGTATTATGTCCAACAAACTTGTGATGTGAGGAACGTTTTGTCTTCCTGCGCAGGGCTGTCCATTTTCTAGATTTTTAAACGCAAGCGTTCGTTCACTGCATTTCTCAACTGCTTGTGAGCTTCTGATTTGTTGTTATTGTCTTTGTAAGTCTGAATGAAACACATATTGTCTGTTAGTGTTTTATACGTACAGTCCAAGGGAAAACTCCTGGAGGATAGAAGAACGGCTCGAGTTGGTTAAGTCTAGGAGCCGCCAACGTCGGAGGCTGTTTGACTTCTGTTCTGAGACCCCAGTTGATGTTTTATTCAGAGGCTTCCCACTACAAGCAAGCAGCTGTCCTCATTCCCAGACTGCCCACACACATGAAATCCATGAACTGTTCTGTGTTTTAAAGAATGAATGACGAGTTCGCTTCCCAAACTCAAAATGCTTTTTTTTTTTTACGTACTTACCAACACAAACTGATATTAAAATAGACTTTTAATGTCTCAAACTTTTTTTTTAATTCCTAAAAAAAATGGTTTAACTTGTAACCTAAAGCTTCTTCCTCGTCTGAATTGCATGTTCAGTGGCTGCAAACACGATCCGGGTCGTGGACCTGGTCCTTACACACAGTAGATTTTGCAGGTGTCACGTTTCAGTAGTCCATCTGTGCTAATGACCTTTTTCTCTCCTGCATCAGTCCCCCCCCGCCATGGCCTGCAGTCTCTTGGTAAAGTTGCTTCCGCACGGCGTATGCCACCCCCTGCCAACCTGCCCAGTCTGAAGGCAGAGAACAAAGGCAACGACCCCAACGTCTCGCTCGTTCCCAAAGACGGCACAGGATGGGCAAGCAAACAGGAACCAGCAGACCCAAAGAGGTAAAGCACGACCTCAGCGGTGGACGACGGCTGAACTTTAGAAGTGGATCTGTCGCGCTCACGTGTCGTTTGTTTTTCAGTACCGATGCATTGTCAGCACCGCAGCCGGAATCGCAGCAGCCTGTGGCTTCACAGATACCTGCGCCGACCTGCCCGAGAACCCCACCAGCTCCAGAGGTACAGCAGACTAATTCTTCCGAAATCAAAACCTGATTTCGTGTCAGTCATTTTAAAGTTATGAACTGTGTCTCGTGTTTCCTCCCCCCTCAGGCTCTGGCCCCACCTTCAACCCAGGCCGTAGGGGTAAGGTCCTGGGCACAGGCCAGCGTTACGCTTGGAACACAAGGGGATGGTCAGTTCAAGTTTAGCACTTATCTTTTTTTTTGTTTTGTTGTTGTATTTGACGTTTGTTACGAGTTTTGTTTCTTGCAGGTGGAAGGGGATCAAACCTACCGTCGCCATTCTCTCGCGAGGAATTTCCCACCCTGCAGTCGGCTGGCGACCAGGACAAAGCTGGCAGAGAACAGGCCACTGCAGATCAGTGGTATGGGCCCGGACCAAGCCTCCGCCCCCAGAGTGAGTGATTCCCAATCAGTGTCCAGTTACTGATCAACATTATTGATTAATAGAGCTCTTTAAAAATAGCTTTAATGTTAATTACGTTACTGTCTTCAGACGTCACAAGTTGGCGGGACGGTGGGGGCCGAGCCCTGGCACCCACCCTGCCTGGGGAGGGGGTGGCGGAGGGGGGTACAGGTGGAGCTCTGGTGATGGATGGGGCAGCTGGGATCCCCCCTGTGAACTCCCTGATCCAAGGGCCACCTAGAAATCCTCCTGCAGGCAGCCCGGCCTTGCCCCTGCCTCAGCCTCCCGTGGGGCCTGGGTTCCCCCAGTACCAAGGGATCATGCCCCCCTTCGTAAGGAGCCGTTTACCTTCATCTGTCTGTTTGCTTTGGAATGAAGGACTCTGTATGAGCTGTCTTTGTGTCTGTCCCTAGATGTATCCTCCTTATCTGCCCTTCCCAGGCCCCTATGGCCCTCAGGGGCCCTACAGGTACCCGCCACCTGGAGAAGGTCCAGTTCCAAGGTTTGATTCAGTCTTTGTTTATTTAGATTGCATCATAATGTGGTGTCTTTTATAAAAAGATCTATTTGCTCATTATAATAAAACCTTTCCTTCAGGTTCCCGCGTGGGCAGGGTGGTCCTGACAGCAGGCCACAGGGGGGCCCGCGGGATTTGGGTGAAGTGGTGAAGCGACCCTCCATCCTAAAGCAGGACGACCTGAAGGAACTAGATGAGCTGGACCACGACGGCGACGATGGCTGGGCAGGTACACAAACATACCAGCTTACACCTCGACATTTACTGCGTGGAAAAAAAAAATCTATTTTCATTAGTTTTGCGCTGCAGCCTGGATTCATTCACTCATTTTGTCAACACCAGCCACAGATTTTGTTTTAAGTCCTGTAGAAACAAACAAACTCTTTATACCTCTGTTAAACAGTTTGTGTCAGAATAAAGTACTTTCCTCCCCCTCTTTGAGTTTTTGGTTACATTTCAGTGATCACTTTAACTGATAAATGTTTGTAAAAAAAAATGTTCAAACCATAATTTACTGTGGGAATTTTAACGTCATGGGGAGTGGTGGCGCAGAGGTTAGAAGATGGGCTTGTGATCGGAAAGTCGCAGGTTCACTTCCCATTACCGTCAACATCAAAATGTGGGTGGAAAAGGTGAAACATCCACACCTCCCTCCACCGTCCTTCGCCCCACTCTGGGCCCCTGAGCAAGGCCCTTAACCCCCATCTGCTCCTAAACAGGTCTCTCTGGAAAATGAGTTCTCGTGGCTCAATGAGACTACCTGGATAAATAAAGGGTAAATTAAATTTACCGTATTTTCGACCGTACTCGTCGCACCGCCCTATAAGTCACATCAGTCCATATTTGTCTAGTAATTGGAAAAATCAATAAAGTTGGGGAGATTTATAGCAGGCCAATCGAGTCATTAATAGCTGGTGAAGATTCTCAGTCTTCCAGGACATGGTAAATTTAAAAAAATTCAAGAAAAAAAACAATAAATTGTCAAGTATAATAAATAAAGTCCAGTTGTTTTGTCTTAAACTTTTTTGAATTTGTCATTATAGCCATGTTTACCCATTACATGATACAACAGCATGCCATACTGCTGTTACTACTCAGCTCCCATCTAGTGGCTGAAAGTGGTACTGTGCTTTTTTTCAGTCAGAATGAATGAAAACGGTCATATTTCAGCCAAAAAATGGTTTATAAATATGTGAAAAGATCCATAAATATCTTGCTTCGGCGTATAAGTCACAGGGCATGCAAATTATGCAAAAAAAAACTGTGACTTATACGCCGAAAAATACAGTAAATATTACAGTGGGATGTTAATTTATGACATTTATTGGCTGTTTTTGTGTTGGTGAGAGAGAAAAACACTTTGTAAAACCCCAAAAAAGTTCAATCTGGTCCTCTGGACATTCAAAAAAACAAAAAACAAAACAAAGCAAAAAATATATAGAAACATTTCGTCTCTCATCCGAGAGACTTCCTCAGTCTGAGGTGCTGTATTCAGCTCAGTCTCTTAAATAGCACTTTGTAACTTTGTAAAACTGTGATAAATATTGGTGTCTGCAGATAACTTGGTCAAATGAGGGGTCGGGGGGAGTGGAGAATTAAATTAATCACAAATTAATCTAAATTCACTCAGTGGGTGTTTGGTGCAACAGACTTTTCTCATTTTATTTCTTAAAGGAGCTCATGAGGAGATCGATTACTCCGCCAAGTTAAAGTTCAGTGATGACGAAGGTGATGAAGAGGGAGAGGAGGAGAAAGCAGAGAGCAAAAATGACTCCCGGTATGGAAGCAAGTAAATTAAAGTTTATATAAAAACACATGTGAGGTGCTTTACTGCGACTGAGCTTGTTTTTTTGTGATTTCTGCCCTCAGTGAGCAGCAGAGATCTCAAGATGCTCCCGCTGCAGCCTCTCACTCTCGAGCTTCAGACAGCAGCGGAGAAAGCCGTCGAACACCTCCCTCCAACGCTGACGGCGTCCCCCAACCCCCCTCCAGCAAGCCAGGATGGGCCGAGGAGGGAGGCAGCGGTTGGGGAAGCCAGGCGGCGGCTTCCAACCAGCAGGTAGTTCAGTCAGACGGCAGCAACAAAGAGCTGACCTGCAGCGTTGCACTGGTGTAAAAAATGTACAACACTGTGGAGTTCTGTTCTTCTAAAGGTTTTTCTTTACACTCAAACATGTTTGTTTTTGTTACGAGCATCACCAAGACGATAAGGATTTTTTTAGTTCCCATTATCGGTTGTAGCCTTAAGATGGAGAAAATAAAAATAGTTTTTATTTAATGTTTTCTTACGGCACACAAGTCAAATGTGCAAACTTTAAGTACATGAAGTTTCTCTAAAATGCTGCATTAAAAAAAGACATTTGTTACTTGGAGTTGATGCCAAGTAAAAAAAATGTTTACATAGAAAATTATTTTCAGTAAAGTACAGCATTTATTTCCAAACATTACAATGTTTGGAAAAGAAAAACTGAAGAGAACTTTAGAAAGAGTTAAATGAAACTATAGATAACCACAGGGTATTCAACAGGCGGCCCATGGGTCACATCCGGGCTACGAGGGGCTGCAGTTCGCTCCGTTGATGAGTTTGTTTAACTTAAAACTAGAGTTTGATTTATAAATAAAATGTGCTTAATAATAATTGCCGGATTTTGCCCCTGTGTGATTTAGAATAGTTCAGTTTCTTAACACTGATTGTTAAAATAAGATCTTTAAACAACATTTTAATCCTTTATTAGATTAAACGTAGCGTTTCACAAACACGTTGTCTTCTTTGTTTCTGATTCAGTAATATCTTTGAGGCGCACTGTTTTTTCATTGATTATATTGATCTAATAATCAGCCATGTCCCACAAACAACAGACATTAAACAACAGAATGTGGGTTAGGAGACCTTGGTGAACCCGGTCCTTGTCTCGATCAGGACCTTGATCCGATACTTGGTATCAGACTGGGACCTCTTACTGTTTGAATGTCAGTCCAGATCATCCTGGTGGAACATGGCTAACGTGTCTGCCTGTATACAGGGGCGCAGGCCGGGATTGGGTGGTCCCCGGGAGCAGCCCTCCCCCCCACCTGGGCCCCTCCTTGGACAAGGGCCCTACTCCTTTTCCAGACAGGTAGACACCTGATCAGGGCCTCATGGATGAACCATTCCCGTCATGTTCTCACCCACTGCTCGCAGATCTTATCGTGGTCATTTTATATTTTTAGTTCTTCCTGAGTTTTATTATCATTTACGGAGTCATTCATCAAAAGTTGTCTGAGACGTTAAAGTTTCATCATCTACAGGATTTATTCATGCGTCACACTAGATTAAATGTTTTGCAACCCTTTAGGAACGGCCACACAACCAGAGTCCTTCTCTTGGCCCTGGGAAACCTGCTCCTGCCCAGCATCAACCAGCAGGAGGTCCCGCCCCTTCCTCCCAGCCTGGCCTGCTGGTCCACGGGTCCCAGGGTGACGACGAAGATGAGACTTGGCGCCAGCGCCGAAAGCAGTCGTCCTCAGAGATATCTGCCGCCGTGGAGCGAGCCCGTCGTCGTCGCGAGGAAGAGGAGCGTAGAATGGAGGAGGAGAGACGCGCCGCCTGTGCCGAGAAGCTCAAAAGGCTGGATGAGAAGCAGCAGCAGCAGCAGGGCGGCAGCGCCGGAGGAGGCAGCAGCAGCAAGACCCCCAGCCTCGATGGCAACTCCACAACTGCTGCCGCCGGCAGCCCCAGTCCGTGTGTTTCAGTGTCCTCTCCTAACATCAGCCAGCCCCCCTCCCCTTGTGTGGACACCGAAGAGCCTCCGGTGCTGACGGTGCAGCCAGGACCTGGTGCAGGAGGTGATCGGCGGCGAGCTAGCAGCAACAGCAGCCACGACTCCGGGACAGGTGAGTTTTTACAGACAGGGATCTGGCACAGCCTTACCTGTTTGTTTCAATTTAACATGTCTATGTTTCAGATGTCCAACAGTGTCCACAGCCGGCTGCACCGCAGCCACAGCAGACCACGCTGGACGTACCTTCACCAGTGGAGACTAAAGAAGAGGCCGTGGGCGGCCCTCACATTCGTGTAGGAAGTGGAGCAGAAAGAGTGGACCCAGTGAAGGTTGAGACTTCTGGTGGAGGAGCGGGCCGTCAAGCTGGAGGTCCTCCTGGGCCGGTTTACTCCAAGTACCAGAAGTCTCTCCCGCCCCGCTTCCAGAGGCAGCAGCAGGTCAGAGCTTGTCTGCTCCCAAATTAAAACATTTATCTGAAGATGTCAACACTGACCTGTTTTATCCTTTAGTACCACATCTGTCAAACTGAGCTGCACACTGTTGACGTTTTCATAAAATAGTTATTATATTTCTGTTCTAAGCCTCTTACATGAATTATTTTCTTTATTTTTTGAATCCATCTGTCTTTAGGAGCAGCTCCTGAAGCAGCAGCAGCAGTGGCAGCAGCAGCAGCATCACAGTCAGGCATCACAAAGTCAGCTGTCTCCTCAGCCCCAGGCCCCTTCACCAGGTTCAACACCCCAACCAGGGCCTGGACCGAAGCAGGGTGCACCCATGTATCAACCCGGCAGCATGGTTCGACCCCCACCCCTGCCGATGAACTTTGACCCTCGGTGGATGATGATGCCCTACATGGACCCTCGCATGATGCAGGGTCGCCCTCCGCCCATGGACTACTATTCAGCTGGCATGCACCCATCTGGTGAGGAATGAAATGTTTTAAGAAATATGAAAAACTTAAATATCTAACAAGACACATATTAGTATTATAGTATTATAGTACTAGTATTATATATTAGTCTTTATTCAACACAAGAGTTGAAACTTATTCCCTGTGCAGGGCTAATTGGCCGCGAGCGATCCGATTCAGGGGGATCTGGTTCAGAGCCTTTTGATAGGCAGCAGCAACATCCGGGGCACCCTCATCGTGGAACCCCCCCAATGGATCCTAAGCTGGCCTGGGGGCCAGAGGTATTCCCTGCTGGAGGGGAGAGCCGTGGGCTGACTTCTCCCCTCAGACAGAAGCCGGCACTGGAGGACGAGGATGTGGGGAAGGGCCCCAGGTATGTTTTTAATGACTGAGGTTCTCAGGACGAGCTCAGAGCTTCAGTTCCGTCTCGTTGTGAAACTTTTCGTTTTGTTTCAGGAGCAACACTCCTCCCCATCGCTCGCGAGAGGCTGGTTTGGGACCAGTCCAGCAGCCCAGCTCCTCATCCAGGACATCCAGTCAAACTCCTCCTCCTCCTGCTGGTGCTCAAGTCCCCCAGGGTGGCAGCCACCACCCCCATCACTACATTGGTGGGCGGAGCAACTACAGCAACTTCCCTGACCAGGGCGTCAGGGGGCCTCTCCACCAGCAACAGCAGAGGCCGGGGGACAGAGGCTTCGCCCACCAAGATGAGGGGACTTCTCGAGGACCTCAGCAGATCCAAATATGGGGGGCCCAACATTCTCATTATGATCGTAACGGACGAGCAGACGCCCCCAGTATGGAGAGCAACTCTCATCACCACCAACATCACAGCCACCACCCTCAGCAGCCACAGTTCCCTCTTAACCCCCACAAGCCAGAAAATGGTCGCGAGACTGCCGGTAAGAAAACCGACTCGACTCCTCCTCTCCACCAACCGTCTCTGTCATCCTCCTGCTCCTCCTCCTCCTCCTCCTCTGCCAGGGAGGACAGTAAAGTGGCCCAGCATCATCTCCCACCACAGCGGGAGGGTGACTCTGGTATCAACCAGAGTCTTGGTGAAAGAGGTGGAGGCGCCAGTAACAGTCTTGTGAAACCAGAGAAGATGGGACCAGCGTACGCATCCCATCCTTCACTCGTCAGCAACCAAACATCTCAGCATGGTGGTCATAATCAGACGCTGCAGCATCCTCATCCTAAGTCAAACCAAAGAGGAGGGCGCGATCACAAGACGGAGACGCAGTGGGGCCCTCGGCCCGGAAGCAACATGGGTAGAGGATCCTCTCATGGCAGGAGAGCCATCAATGCAGGAGGTGGGACCAGCTCCCGTGGAGGAGAGGACTCCTTCAGTACCCCTTCAGACCATAAACCCTCTAACCAGGCAGGAGGCGGCAATCCCATCAAGAGGGCAGGTCCGATTAAGAAACCACTGCCGAAGGAAATTAAGAGAGAAGGAGGGGAAGTTAATGGAGGTGAAAAAACCAGTGGAGGCTCTGGAAAAGATAAAGAACAAGATGGTGCTCAACCCCCCTCTGTGAAACAGGAAGCCCCCTCTGTCTCCCAGAATGCTTCAGCTCCATCTAAAGAAGAGACAGCCCAGACAGCTAAACCCAGGAATGGAGGAAAAGAACGCTCCTCAGGAAGAGGGTCCAAGGATGTAGACGCCACATCTTTAGGGTTTCCAGCACCCCCCTCTAGAAAAGACAGAGATCGATCGTTTGAACAAGGCGGCGGCGGCTCCCACCACCCAGAAATCCCCGCCAAAGGCGGAAGAGCCAGCCGAGGACGAGGAGGAGAATTTTACGGGCGTGGGCGTGGTTACCGGAGTACCTACACCGCCAACGCTGGACCGGTTGGGGGAGGTCGTGGTAGAATGGGGGGTAGGAGTGGTCGGGACTACCGCTCATCGGTTGGTGGCGGCCACCACCAGGAACACAAGGTTGATGGCGCTGGTGTCAGGCACCCTCAGGATAGGTGTCAGCACAACCCCGCCAGAGCCAGAAACCACAGTGAAACTCGCAGCGAGGGCTCCGAGTACGAAGAGATCCCCAAGAGGAGGAGGGAGAGGGGCTCGGAGACTGGCAGTGAGAGCGGGGGCAGCGACCCCGCACACTCCGACAAAGACGACAATCGAAAGTCCATTTCCAAGAGTTGTTCTAACAATGTCGGTGCTGCCAGGAACGTCTCCTCTGCTCCACCTAGAGTTTCCCAGGCCCGTGTCTTCACCCCCAGGGGTGTGCCCTCTAGGAGGGGCAGGGGTGGAGGAGGCGGAGGTGGAAACATCTACAGAAGTAGTGGCAATATAGTAGGAACATCTGGGGGACACCGGATTGGCCCCGGTTCTAGTTCTCACGGTGGGCCGGTCAAATATTCAGGCCGTAAACAACAGGGTCCGCCTCAGACCTCTGGAGCCAAAGATCCGGGTCGAGGAGGAAACCCAGGAGAGAAAAAGGACAAGGTCGCTGACGGAGGTCAAGCTCCGAATCAGGGAACCAATCCCCCACCACCCCCTCTGCCCGCTGCACCCCCTGCTGCTTTGGGTTCCACTGAAAACGGAGGGCCGACAGTCCAGCAGCCCTTAACTAATCCTCCACCAAACCCCGTTGGGCCAAATGGCCCCCCTCAGCCCACCAACCGGGGGCACCCCCCTGCTGGGTTTGAGAGGCCTCCCAGACGACGGCGTCACGGGCGTTCTCAGCACCAACAAGACAAGCCGCCCCGCTTTCGAAGGTTGAAGGAGCGAGAGAACGCCGCACGCATCAACGGAGGGGTGGGGATTCCCGGGGGAGGGAGACCGCCGTCCCCTCCTCTGAACTCTGTTCAGGACAGTAACGGAGCCCCCGTCTCCGCCCCCCTCGCGGGAAACGTCCAGAACGCGAACCACAGCACCGCTCCAGCTGCCAACAGCAGCAGTGGCGTGCATCTGAACAGTACGAACAGTCACCACCACCATCACCACTACAACCAGGGCAGCGGTGCGCCCCCCCACCCCCAGCACCACCACAACCATGGAGCGAAGTCTCCTGACTTCACCAACCAGAACTCGGACCAGGCCAACGAGGAGTGGGAAACTGCCTCGGAGAGCAGCGACTTCACCGAGTTCAGAGACAGAGACAGGGACAGGGGGGGAGGAGGAGGAGGAGGAGGAGGAGGGGGGAAGCCCTACACCTCCCACCATCACCACCACATGGGAAGAGGAGGAGGAGGTGGCGGTCTGGTGGATCGTGAGATGATGAGTAAAGAGCCCTCAGCCAATAAACGGAGCTTTTCAAGCCAGCGTCCTGGGATGGATCGGCAGAACCGGAGGGTCAACACCGGAGGAGGGGGAGGGGGAGGGGGAGGCCGAGGTCCTCGCGGCCCCCCCGGGGGCGGCTCCGGTGCACCTGCCAACGGAGGCGGCAATCGAGGAGAGAAGCGCGGCAACTGGCCTTCACCGAAGAACAGGAAGTGACGGCGTTAAAACAAACAAACGGATGAACCCTCCCCGGTACATCTTAATCCCTTCAGATTATTTCATGGCTTATCTGTTGGCATCTTTAACACGTTAGTGCATCGTGCAGTATCTAAAGATGGTATTTATACTCACCTCTGTCCCTACGTCATTATTCTTTGTACCGTCCGTTATTGTAAATTTCTCTTCTGTCTTGCTCTCATTTTGTCCCCCCCAGTTATTTTTAACCCCCTCTGAATTCGACAAGCATGTGGTCGTGCTGTGAAGGTGCACGTTGTTTCGACAGGACATTCACACATGCTCAGTTCAAGCACAAAAAGCCACATCTGCAAACACGGGATTAAATGTGTGGGGCTGCTTGGATTGGGCTCTTTTCTATTTGTACGTACGTTCGAACCCCTCTGGCCTCAGGCGGCTCCGCAGCACCTCCCTCCCAGACGGAGAGAGAGAAGCTTCATCTTTTAATAACAAAACACTTTTTTTTTGTTATTTTTTTTGTGTTTATTTCTCTTTTCCGAAGCAGGATGTTTTCACTGACCCTCCGTCTCCTGGTTCCTCTCGCATGACGTTTGCGTGGTTTCTGTGAGACGTGCGTCCATTAACTCGTTCGTCTTTAACATCAGTGTTTTTGCTGCTCGTTCAGGTGGACTGTCTGTTTTTATTTCTCCGAGTCGTCGACCTGCTCTGACATTTCATTAGATATTTGTCTTTTCGTAGGAGCTAAGGCTTTTCGGGCCTCGTCGTAGCGTCGCCCCCACCTGCAGAAACAACAGTCTGGGTGTTGTTGACCCTGTGAAGACCGCGTTGATGGCGTGACGGCTTTTTTTAACAACCATTACTTCCTCAGTTACCTCCGTTTTTATGGAAATGTTTTTTTTTTTTTTTTTCTTGATCTTGTCTGGAGGAAAAAAAAAAAGAAAATGTAGGTCAGGATGTAACGTTTAATAAAACTGTTTATGCTTCTATAGGTAACTGAATATGTTCTGATAAGCACTCCTTGTATGAAAGCATCCATGTTTGTTTTTTTCTTTTGGTTTGATTTTTGCGTTGATGTGATTTTGGGGGACGTTAAAGTGCCGCAGCAGGATGGGCGTGGGGGGGTTCTGTTTGGGCCCGCGGTGCAGAGCCAGTGTTTTCATCTGGAGCGATTCTTCACACCAAGACGGACTCCTCGTCTAAACAAAGTTTTTATTTTTTTTTCCCTGGGCGTGTACAGTTCACGGTTTGTGAGACCTGCAACAGAAACGCCGGCCCGGAGGGAGGAAAGTGACGACGTAGGATCACACTCGTAGTTTTTAATCACACACACACGAGACGAGAAACGATTTCAGACAGCCTCCGACGTGAACTAAAAATCTGTTTCAGCTCCGTCGCTGCTGTAAGTCTGTAAGTTGGGGTTTGTTTACTTACAGTTTGAAGATCGTCTCTGGGACGTCGTGAGGGCATTCAATGATTTTTGTGGACGTTTGTGGAAGAACTCTGGTCGGGGTGGGGGACCAGAGGGTTCGGCACGAACGGCAAGTTCTTTCTTGCCTCGTTTGTCCACGCATGATTTAACCGATTTATAATTAAGACAAATCTCCTGTTTCTTGAGTACATCCAGGTGCGTGTGTGTGTGCGTGTGTGTGCAGCGTCTAAAATGAAGAATCTGCAGTGGGAAAACTTTTGGTGTAATTTAAGCTTTCGTTCCTCAGCAGGCAGGTGAAGTTGGGGCATTTTATTTTATTATTTCCCCACTATTGTTAGCATGAAAACACAGATGGGTGCTGCTTGTGTCGCCTGTTACTGGTGTGTAGCTGTACATTTAAACACAGGCTCAAAGAGTCCGTCATCCTTCACGTCATTATTGTATGTACCCATGTTAAAAACAAGAAGTAGTGTATTCCAGCAAAAAAAACTCAGAGATTGTATTATGTTTCCAGCATTACAGAGGTACCTGGAGTGGTTCAAACTGTTTTTAGCATTTAAAGGTTTTAGTAAAGGAGCTGTGAAATACACACATGTATGTATATTGGTATGTATCTGAGTTTTGTCGACCCCAACTTACATTCCCACAAACAAATGTTGACATTTTTAGTTCAAGGGAGCAATGTACAAGCAGAGAAGTGTCTTATTATAATAAAGTTATACAGAGAAGGCAAAGTTAAATAAACTACTTTTGATTTAATGGAAAATCTTAAGTTCGTGTCTCGTTCTTGTAACATTAGTCTGATCCTTTAAAGTTTTTAGATATTAAACCAGTGAATGGTTCATTTAACCTCTATAATAACTAAATGCACCAAGAATTATATTTGCCAATAATTTAAGCCATTTGATTAATGTGGGTTCAAAGCCTTAAAAATGTTAAAATGTGCCTTTTTTTTTTTTAACTATCCGCCTCCAGAAACGAAGATTTGTTGGTATTTTTCTTAAGTTTGCTACAGTTCTTCATGTGAGCTGTGCTGAGAAGCGAGTTTAAATGAGCACATCCTGCAAAATATGTGAAAATTTAAATTTTTATCAGGAAAATTTGCAATAAAATGAGTCCATAAGGACACCAATTAACTAGCCCCATAATTAAAATATTGTATAATCTTCCTAATCAACTTAAGTTTTCTAAGTTATATCTTTGTAGAGAGTTTGTATTGTATTTAAAATTTACTTCAAAATTGACTGCTAAATGTTGGGAAATCCCTTCATATGATTTTCAATGCCTTTGTGAATTAAAAGTCCTGTTTAATTATAGGGCTGGATATTTTAGCTTTTATCTAGTGTTGGCTAGTTTTCACGTTTCACTTATTAAAAAATTGTGTTATTTTATTAATTGCTAATTTTAGAAATAAATGATTTGTTTTGCGTCATTTGCCTTTCAGCTATCATTTTGCTAAATTTAGCAACCTGTCTTAGTAACCTTTTTCTAATTGTCACTATGAGCTACAATTTTAGCTTTTGTTTTTCTCATTTTAGCTCGTTCTGATTCTTTTATTGAAGATTCAGTTTAAGCTTCAACGAATTTAAGCAGTTTTCAGCACAGCATTCACGCTGTTTTAGCAAAACATTAATTTTTTTTCTAGTTCAGTTAGAATGTAAACATGCTGTAACACGGTAAACAAAATAAGTTATTTAGAAAGTGCCATGGTATGTTTTATATTCCTTTTGTTGAGCACATTTAGATTTACTATCTCGATATTTATGCGCATGCTCAAAGTCAGTATTTTGCGATGGATTGTGGTCTAGATATTTTCAGGCCTACTTCCGCTTTTTTTTTTTTTTACAGACTCATATTTATCGTTTGTGTATATTCGTTAGTATCACAGACTGTCGCCTTCATATCCGACAAAAAACCCGTTAAAAATATTCTCGAGTTTGATGTTTCATATTTGCGTTCACTTGATCAGTGACCGGAAATAGCTAAGAATGGGTGCTCGATTTTACGCATGCGCATTGGTATTCAGGAAAAAAACATTGTCATAGCCGGAAGTTAGCAGTAGGTGGCAGCAGCGAACCTCAAACCGCCGGAGGAAACAGGAAATCCCGGGGTTATCAGGGAGCCGGTGTCCATCTTATTTATACCTGTGAGATAGTTCGACGGATTTTTCAGGGCTGGATCAAAGTTAAAAATTCGGGTAAGTTAGTCCATGTAAATGTGTGTCTGAACTTAGAGACTAAAACACCGAGACAGCGGGAGACAAACAGAGCGAGCTGGTCCCTGTGACCGGGCCTGTTTTTGACTGTGCCTTGTTAGCAGCTAGCCCAGCAAGCTAGCATTCTGCGTGAACAAACGCATTCATTATCTGATTTAAAACTACAGATTTGTCATTAGTGATATGAATTAATAAAGTACAAATGACACACACCTTTCCCGCAAGTTGATTTTTTAAAACTAGCTGTGTATAAATGATTATTAGCTAGCTTAGCTTTAGCATAGCTATTTAGATGAGGTGATGTAATTTCTCATTATTACCAAACCTGGTCGTGATATCGCGACTATTCTATCTTTTTTATTGTCCGTTTTAAATAAAAAATGTTAATTTTGGTCAGTAATGTGAAGCTATTTATTTATCACGTGTTGCATTCACTTGACGTTGACAGAATGGGAAAAGTTAAAACTTGTACATTATTTTGGTCACACAATGTAATTACAATAGCTGTTTTATTATATGTATTACATATCACATGAAGCCAAACACGGCTCGTGTAAAGAATTGTTTAAAGTGTATGTTAATGTGTTTAACTTTAAAACAAAGTTACGTAAACGCAGCATTTAAATAGTTTTGTTCATTTTTTTGCAGTAGGTCCTTAGAGATGAGCAGTTCAGAGGAAGTGTCGTGGATATCTTGGTTCTGTGGACTGAGAGGAAATGAGTTTTTCTGTGAGGTAAGTCTTCCAAATATCATCTGTGTTTAAACATTAATTGTTTACTTTCAGGCAGGTTTTAGAGCTGAGTTTGATAATTTATAATGCAATCGCAGGCTCATATACTTTAATCTTAATTCCAGTGTGTGAATCTTTCCAACCACAGGTGGATGAAGATTATATCCAGGACAAGTTCAATCTGACGGGCCTCAATGAGCAGGTTCCTCATTACCGCCAGGCTCTGGACATGATCTTGGACCTTGAACCAGGCATGATTTTCTTCTTTTCCATCCTTTCAGTCGCTCCGAGTGGTTGAACAGACGTGTTGCACTCTTTGGGCCTCATGCGTGAAAGAGTGTGCAGCTTTCGTATTGAATTTGAAAAGTGCATACATACTAAAACGGATTTATCAAACTGTGTACAGCTTCAAGATGTGCGCAAATACTTTCATACAACAAAATGTGTGTACAAACAAATGTGTGGCGGATCCTGATGCATCATTCATACACGAGCCCCGCCCCCCTCCCCTCAGTGCTTTCTGCCCTTTGGATACTTGTTCCTCAGCACAGTTTTGCATCTCTCGCCTGTCGTAAAAGCTCTTAAACCTTTGAGAATGTTTCCATCTTTAGACGAAGAGCTGGAGGACAATCCCAACCAGAGCGATCTGATCGAGCAGGCGGCCGAGATGCTGTACGGCCTCATCCACGCCCGCTACATCCTCACCAACCGAGGAATCGCACAGATGGTAGGTGCCAAACCCACTGCTTTGTTGCTGCTGCTTGTGAAAGTTATTTTTAATGGCTCTTATTAATGCATTGTTTTTATAGCTCTTGTATGTCTAATATATACTTTTACAAAAGATTTAGCGCAATCTTTAAAGATACATATCAGTTTTTACCGTGTTACATCTTACTTACAGAATAAACTCAATCTGATAGATGGAGATAAACTCTAAGCTGAGACCATCTATTTTTATCTTTGTTTCTGCATGTTTAGCTGGAAAAGTACCAGCAGGGAGACTTTGGCTATTGTCCTCGTGTTTACTGTGAGAACCAGCCGATGCTTCCTATTGGTGAGTTGGTTTTTTTAAAGTTGTTGCTGCATTTCTAGTAAAAAGCAGCAGTCAGTTCCTGAGTGTGGATGTGGGAAACATCTGTAAGAGGACCAGGATCGGCTACTTTCAGGTCTAAATGATGTTTTTCTCTCACTTCTTCCCCCTCAGGCCTGTCGGACATCCCAGGAGAGGCCATGGTGAAGCTGTACTGCCCAAAGTGTATGGATGTCTACACACCCAAGTCCTCCAGACACCACCACACAGATGGAGCCTACTTTGGCACCGGTTTCCCCCACATGCTCTTCATGGTTCACCCGGAGTACAGGCCCAAGAGGCCAGCCAATCAGTTCGTCCCACGGTTCGTACGGCAGCTTTACTTACCAGGACCCACTGTTGAACTTTACTGTGTTTAATATTTGGGTGGTTCAAGCAACCATCAGGGGGAGTTTGTGTTCAGAACATCATTTTGAGTCGAGCAACAAGAAAACTTTAATCCACAGAAACTCTGAATTAATACATCATAAATTAATTTCTCAAACTATTGGCTAGCAGAAGGAATATGTCACAATTAAAAGGTAAAAGTAAAATTTAAATACTTTATTTTAGCTGTTAATTAATTAATCAATCTTAATTTTTAATTCAGTTTGGTTTATTTATTTAGGACCAGTTCACAACAAACATGTCAAGGCACAAAACAAAAACATTCACTTACTTTATAAAATGACAATTGATAAAAGTTATTTGTTATAGATGCCAGCAGATTGTGTTCCATCCTGAGCAGCCCGATGGTGGAAAGAAAAAAAAACTTAACTGGAAGAAACCTCCACTGAACAAATACATTCATATACTGGTACATAAAAATGAAATCAGTAGGTAGGTTAGGTTTATTTGTCGTGCAAAATCAACACAAGGTCAACGATGCAATGAAATGCTGAGGACAAGAAGAACCGTCTCGACTCGTTAAAAAAAACCATATCAAAGTATGTAGCAAAAATACTAAAAACATACAAAACAAATACCAATATACTAAAAAATTTTTTAAAAAAATACTATTAAAATACAAAAAACCTAAGGCACCAAAGCTGAACAAGAAAAACATCTACAGTGTGATTCAGTTAGCAGGGAGGTTCTTTCAACATCATGGTTCTGTTCCGTTAGTGGCGTGGTCTCGTTAGCAGGTCCAGTCAGCAGCTGCCCTCACAGACCGCAGTCCAGAACCAGGTCCAGCAGACAGAGAACATCCAAGGATTCCCTGCGGACCGAACGGACCCGTTCAGTTCCGCAGGGAATCCTTGGATGTTCTCTGATGTTCTCTGCAGATGGAGGCTAGCGTTAGCAGGCCCTGCTAGCAGCTTGATGATCATAACAACAGCTTCCCTCCCAGACTGTCCTCCAGAACTGGGTCCAGCAGACAGAGATCATCCAAGGTTTTCCCCGTGGAGCCGAACAGTTCCGTAGAGTTCGGTCCGTGCAGGTAGATGGAGGATCAGGGAGTCAGCTGCCATGACAGGCCAAAGCCTAGGTCCGAGGCTGGAGTGGGGCCAGGACCTGAACCACGATGGCATGATGGCAAGGCAGTGACGCACAAAACTCAACAAGTGTGTCGTGGTCGTACCTGTACCGTGTCACTGTAGGTGCAAGGAAAAGTTCAAATAAAAATATTTAAAAGGTCGAGTGCTACCATTCTGCGGCGCACGTGACGTCAGAGTCGTCGCATTATTTATTTAAGATCGTGTAGGATAGAAATGCTCCTAATATTTAGTTACTTTTTTTGTATCTTTGTTTTGATGATAACTCAAACATTAGTCTGGTCTCAAAATCCTAACTTCCTGTTTGACTCTGTTGTGACGTCTGGGACGAGAAGTTGGTCTAATCAGTCGGGGTGGGGCGACCGCTGCTCCCTGAAAGCAAACTCCCGTTTCTCTTTATGATCCGAAGCCCGCTTTTGCTGTTTCAACAACACACTCGTCCCTCGGATTAGCTTGTGATGTTTGTCTTCCTCCAGGCTGTACGGCTTCAAGATCCACCCCATGGCCTACCAGCTGCAGCTGCAGGCCGCCTCCAGCTTCAAGAGCCCCGTCAAGGCCATCCGCTAGACCACCGGGCCGCGAGGAGGAAGATTCTGAGAGAGAAAGAGGAGAGGAGAGGGGGGGCCACCTGGATTTCAACGAGCTCTTCAGATGCCCCCTCCCCTCCATGAAGACTATTATTTTGATTTAGATTAGCGCCTCTGGATATAAGTGTAAAGATAAAAGTGTGAGCGAGACGTGAAAACACACACACACACACTCGGTTTATCGTACCAACGTCATCCGTGCCAAAAACAGAGGCTCTCCTCTGTCGGCTCACAACACGAGCGCGCTTCAGGCGCCGCAGCAGATTTTTATATTCAGCTTTGATGGACAGAAAGCTAAAAGTGCGACGTCCGGGTCACGTTTCACCCCCGGCCCTGCGGCCGTTCTGTATTTGGCATCATGTGGTGAAAGGTGGTGGTAAACCCTCCGTCTTTGGACGCGCACCCCCCGCCTTCTGTCCACAGTTAGCTCCCAGTGCATGAACGCTTTAGAGCAGCGCTCGCAGAGACCGTTCGCATGCAGCTGGCAGGTTTTTTTCTCTATCGCTCTTCAGAAAGAAAAAAAAAAAACGTATTTTTGAGCCGTTGCCCAGGGAAGTTTGTTAAATTTGCCTTAAAGTACTCGGATTGTTTAGAGGAGGCAGAGTAGAAACCAATAAGATTATCTGAATTGTCAAACAATTGTAATAACTGTGCATGTGTCTGTGCTGAAGATATAACCAGAGAACACCCCCCCCCCCCCCCCCCCC